TTGTTCAATTTTGTACAACTGTTTTTTGTTCGAAAAGGAGATCATAAACATCAAATTTTGTTCGAGGAGCACGCTAACACTTGGCACCCTTTTTTACTTTTTTTAAAAAAGTCAATTTTGTAACGATTATAATATACATAAATGATTCTTAAAATTTATACTATGTTTAGCGCCCACAGATAGAGACATTATGCGCTTATAGAGATGTAAGCGGGATATTTACAACGCAATTACCTGAGAACACGGACGACGAGCAGACTGAAGAAGAATACAATGTAGAGGAACCGTCTGTACTTAGCAATATCGACAACGAAGACGATCTACTGTACGACGATGCCCCAGCATTCCAAATGCCTGTATCATCGTATCTAAAAGCATCAGATGGTACTACTAAGAAACCATCTTGGTAAAATACTTGTCTTTGTTACACAGTGTGTTTAAAATGTTTGACCAAACTTTATCATTATATATTAACTTTTTTTTTATTAAAATCTGAAAAAGGGTAAAAATTATTTGGCCAAATATTTTTCTATATCTAATTTCTATGCCTTTGACATTAAAAGGATGATATATCAACATACATTTTTATAATATAAATTTTTGTAACAGGTGGCAAAGGTATTTACAAGAAATTAAATCCACATACTGGCTACTTGTGTACATTGTATAGAGACAGTGGGACGCTGGAAATTTACTCCTTACCTGATTTACGATTATCTTACCTTATTCGCAACTTTGGTTTCGGCCAGTACGTGTTGCACGACAGCATGGAATCCACAACTTTACAATCAGCGCCGCTCAATGAGATCCCACATCCGGATATGCAGGTAATTTATCTATAAATGTGCCTCTTTGTGTGTAGAAATCTTAAAAATCTTGTGTCTTAACAAATATCTATTTTTATAAGTTCGTGAAATTCTAATGGTTGCTCTAGGACACCATGGAAATCGGCCGATGTTATTGGTACGTCTCGATTCAGAGTTGCAAATCTATAAAGCTTACAGATACCCAATGGGATATCTAAAATTAAGATTTAAGAAATTGAACCATGGAATAATCCCGGGGCGTTTAAGGTATTTCTAATATGGATGATATTACATTTTCTAATACAATAATAATTGTAACATATGGAGTGATTACTACATTAGATAATATATCAAATTAAATTCTGATACTATAATTATTTCCACCAAAATGGAGCTTGGAAAAATACGCTCTTTCACTCAGATTATTACAAATTTTTTAACTAAATTTTCTTCCTAGTCCAAGACCCAAAGAAGAAGATGTGATAAATAAATCAATTATTAATTTATATTTCTTCCTCTTTCTCTTCCTCTTCCTCCGAAATAATGATTATTATAATTATCGCACATGTTGAATAAAAAATTAAAAAATTTCTTCGCTCTTTGGCGTTGTCCGCTTCTTTTGCCACTCGATCTCCAACCTATAAAATAAAATAAATATTAATTATAATATTAAATACATAAAAGTATATGCAATAACAATTTCAAATAAGCTACAAAAACTTTATACATAAGTATTATATATTACCTAACTTACGTTGATTTATATCGGCGACATGCCGAAGAGCAACGGTAGCCGTAGCAGATTCACGTGGAGCCGGTGGAGCCCGCGGAGAAGCGGCGGCGGCGGCAACGGTATCGGCGAAGGCGGTACGCGTGGCAGCGGCGGCGACATGCAGAGGAGTAACGGCGGTAGCAGTACGCGAAGGAGCAGCAGCGGCGGTGGCATGCGGAGGAGCAGCGTTGGAAGCGTCGGAGGCTGTGACCTCCGTAAAATCTTTCACTCGTCTTGGACTTACAGGACGGTGGGGAAGAGACTTGAACAAGTTTATATCCATGTCCACATCTGACAAGTCCACATCCAGCATCTGCAATTAAAAAAATGTATAATATATAATAAAATTTTAAGTAAATTTTAAATAAAAAATATATGTAAATATTATATAATATATACTTACGTCTTGTTCTTGCGTCATTCTGATGAGCAATTAGTGACACGGTGACACGATCGATATATATGTATATATCGAAATCGATTACTAATTTTGACAAGATTTTGTGAAAATTCGCCTTGAGGTACGAACCGCTTTGCGTGTATATGTGTATACGTGTGACTGAAGAATGTCACTTTGAATAAAGTGACACTTTTCACGAACTCGATCTCAAGATCTCAATATTGACTGCACCAATTTTATTCGCAATGGTCGCAATCGAATGTTCGTATCGACATTATATCAGAAAATGTCATTAGATTTTGTATTGCTGTTATAATTTC